TAATATAATTTGAATATAACAAGAGATTAAAGGTGGGATGTTTGATGTAAGACTATTGGTATTGTCAAGGATGGGGAACTGGAAAAAGGTATTCCTTGTGGTTACTATTTAATCATTTGGAGAGTAAGACAAATGTACCATTTAATATTGAGGTGGCTGTTTATATACCTACCCTGAGGTAGTGTAGGAAAACATCAGGAGGGTGGAGGAGACAGAAGAGCTAAGGAAACATTGGGGTAGTGTAAAAAACATCAGGAGAACAGAGGAGACGGCAGCAGAGAAAACATTGATCTAGTGTAGGAAACTTTAGCAGAATGAAGGAGACATAGAAGCAGAGTAAACATTGGGGTAGTTTAGGAAACATTAGGGGAGTGTAGGAGACATCAAATAAACAGAGATGTCAATGAGGGCAGCAGAGGTGAGGGGCATAATACCATCCAGTCTTTCTGTACTTGCTGCCATGGGCAGCCTTCCATACTGCAGAAATCAGTCATTATGACGTCAGCACTGCGTTCACACTATTGTTGTTCTGTAAGCCCATGGTGACATGGAAACACATCCAAGAAGGTTTGGCCATGACAGCCTGAGCTCATAAATAGTGGACTGAAGGCATAAGAGAGTTTCTGTGGAAGACAGTGCTGGAGACAAGTTGAGTACATTTTCTTTTCTCTATCATGACTAGCTATTTATTTTTTAATTTATTTATGCTTCATTTTGATTACTATTTTACATTAAAAAAAAACTTCTTTTTTTTCCAAATTATACTAATAAAAATAATAATGTTGTTTGTTTTTGCTATAATGAAGAAAGTCAAAGGAAAAGAAGCATCAAGGGCTTTGGGTGTCCCATTGGTATCATATCATTGGTATCATGCATGGCTCTGAATACTATAAATAGAGTGAATTTTTAAGATCACAATCATTTCTCCAATTCTTTGTGAAGAACTATCATCACAAAGGCATGCAAACCAGACTCAAGGACTGCTGTTACAGATAGCATGTAGATGCTATTAGATGGCGCCATTATGCTAAGAACAAAAGAGTTCTCTGAGGCCCTCAGAAAGAACATTGTGGATTCCTATAGGTGTGATAGAAGACTTTAAAAGATCAGCACATTTTTTTTTAAATCAATCATTCTGTGGTAAGGAAAATCACCTACATGTGGTGTAGGTTTTAAAATGTATATCATATAGGGCACGCTTCTTGGAGCCCAAACTCTGTAGCTGTAGGAAAAAGGTACCAGATGGATATCAGGGATAGATGGATGGATGGGATCAGTAACACTGAGGCAGCTCTTCTTAGAGTGGAAGCAAGGATCTAATGCAGTAACAAGAAAAAGAGAGGAAGGCGCCTCTAAGTGCAGTATTGACAATTTATTTAGTAAACAATGGATAAATTGCACTTACAAGACAAATAGTTAAAAAGACTCGTCATGTGATGTATTAAGATCCAGTTGGGACATCCAGCCGTCCAGCAGCAAACTCTGTCTATAGGATCAGGAAATAGAGTCCAGGATGTGCCTGTGCATCAAAATGAATCTTGGAGAGCAGAGTCGGATGTAAGAGGTGAAGGGGGCGGTAATGAGCATGCTCTGAAATGCTCCAAAATGCATTACCGCCCCCTTCACCTCTTACATCCGACTCTGCTCTCCAAGCTTCATTTTGATGCACAGGCACATCCTGGACTCTACTTCCTGATCCTATAGACAGAGTTTGCTGCTGGACGGCTGGATGTCCCACCTGGTCTTAATACATCACATGATGAGTCTTTTTAACTATTTGTCTTGTAAGTGCAATTTATCCATTGTTTACTAAATAAATTGTCAATACTGCACTTAGAGGCGCCTTCCTCTCTTTTTCTTGTAGGTTTTAAAAGACTGATCATTTGTCCAGGACTGGCCTGCCCAGCAAATTCCATCCAAGAACTGACTGACTAACACAGAACATCATTGCAAGATGTGCAGGTAATTCTTACAACAGCTAGGGTCAAAGTGAATGCCCTTGCAATCTGAAATAGATTGCACCAATTTAACCCGTGCCAGGAAAACACGTTGCTGTCCGTTAGAGTAACATTATAATTTTTTGCTACGCAATTAGGCAAAGATTGGCTCCTTTGGGTCACATAGGAACTGTATATTCATTAAAATTAGACTTTGGACCCAGGGCAGTAAATGTCCAATGCAGAATTGCCTTTGATTGGTTCTTCACTATGGTAACCCAGAAGCGATGACACACGTCGGTCCCATTCGAGCGCAATCGTCCCACACAAGTTTGGTATCACCGTGATTGTCAGATCATGGGCAGTAATTCTAGCACTAGACCTCCTCTGTAAATCTAAAATGGTAACCTGTAAAGGCTTTTCAAGCATTACCTATGGATAGTAAAATGTACGCCATTTGTTGCCATGGTACTGGCGTGCGCAATTTTAAAGCATATCTAAAATCAGATTTTGTGTTTTTTGCAAAAAATTGTGTTTGAAAGACTGCTGTGCAAATATCGCATGACATAAAAAATTGCAATGATCGCCATTTTATTTCCTAGGTTCTCTGCTAAAAATGTTATATATATGTATATACTGTATATACAGTTGCAAGAAAAATTATGTGAACCCCTTGGGATTACGTGGAGTTTTGCATGAATTGGGCATAAAATGTGCTCTGAACGTCATCTAAGTCACAACAATAGAAGAACACAGTCTGCTGAACATAATACTACACAAACATTAGATGTTGCCATGGTTTAATTGCACATAACATGTAAACATTCACTGTGCAGGGAGGAAAAAGTATGTGAACCTTTGGACTTAATAACTGGTTGACCCTCCTGTGGCAGCAATAACCTCAACCAAACGTGTTTCCTGTAGTTGCAGATCAGACCTGCACAACGATCTGGAGTAATTTTGCACCACTCCTCTTCACAAAACTGTTTCAGTGTAGCAATATTCTTTGAATGTCTGATGTGAATCGCTCTCTTAAGGTCATGCCACAGCATTTCAATCGGGTTGAGGTCAGGACTCTGACTGGGTTACTCCAGAAGGCGTATTCTGTGCTGTTGCAGCCATTATTTTGTTGAATTACTTGTATGCTTTGGGTCATTGTCCTGTTGCATCACCCATCCTCTGCGGAGCTTCAGTTGGCTGACAGATGGTCGTACGTTTTCCTGCAAAATGTCTTGATAAACTCTGGAATTCATTTTCCCATCAATGACAACAATCCGTCCAGGCCCTTAGGCAGCAAAGCAGCCCCAAACCATGATGCTCCCTCCGCCATGTTTTACAGTGGGGATGAGGTTTTGATGTTGGTGTGCTGTGCCTTTTTTTCTGCACACATAGTGTTGTGTGTTCTTCCCAAACAACTCAATCTTGGTTTCATCTGTCCACAGTATATTTTGCCAGTAGTGCTGTGGAACATCCAGGTGCTCTTTTGCAAACTTCAAATGTGCTGCAATATTCTTTTTGGACAGCAATGGCTTCCTCCGTGGTGTCCTCCCATGTACTCCATTCTTGTTTAATGTTTTCCTTATTGTAGATGTGTCAACAAAACTGTTAGCATGTGCCAGAGATTTCTGTAAGTCTTTAGCTGACACTCTGGGATTCTTCTTTACCTCATGCAGCATTCTGCGCTGTGCTCTTGCACTCATTTTTACAGGAGGACCATGCCTAGGGAGAGTAGCAACAGTGCTAAACTTTTCTATTTGTAGACAGTCCATCTTACCATGGACACATGAACATCAAGGCTTTTGGAGATACTTTTGTAACCCTTTCCAGCTTCATGCAAGTCAACAATTCTTGATCGTAGGTCTTCTAAGAGCTCTTTTCTGCGAGGCATAGTTCACATCAGACAGTGCTTCTTGAAACCAGTAAACCCAAAACAGGTGTGTGTTTTTTAAGGGCAGGACAGCTGTCAGCAACACATCCAATATCATCACACTGATTGGAGTCAAGGTTGGCTCACTCCTGGCTCCAATTAGCTCTGGGAGAAGTCATTAAGCTAGGGCCTCACATACTTTTTCCTCCCTGCACTGTGAATGTTTACATGTTATGTGAAATTAAACCATGGCAACATCTAATGTTTGTGTAGTATTATGTTCAGCAGACTGTGTTCTTCTATTGTTGTGACTTAGATGTTGTTCAGAGCATATTTTATGCCCAATTCATGCAAAACTCCATGTAATCCCAGAGGGTTCACATACTTTTTCTTGCAACTGTATATATATATTGTTTAGTGGTTCTAGAAATAGTAATTTTCGAGTGAAAAAAAAACAAACGGATTTAAACTTGTAAACTAGTAGTGCAAGAAATGGCTTGGGGCTGAAGTGGTTACAAAAGAAAGTAAGGAGAGCAGATGAGGCTTTCAGTTCAGCTCATGAGAAGTGACAAGGAAGCTGAGTTTCTGGCAAGATCAACAGGTATTTTCTGTACTTGTTAAAGAATGTTCTTGCACGCAACACCATAATATTATAGGAGTTTGCTCATTTTTATTCTGAGCAATATTTGTTATAATGTTTATTATTCTGACTTTAAATTGCTTTTATTTTTCCTTCTAAGGAATAAGAATGACAAATAACACAATAGTAAAGGATTTTTTCCTCCTTGGTTTTGAAGGACATCGTAATTTAAAAACTTCCCTCTTCTTTATTTTCTTTATTTTTTATTTATCAACAGTGAGTGGAAATGTATTAATTATAATGCTGGTGTGTTTATACAAAAATCTCCAGTCCCCTATGTATGTTTTTATGTCCAACCTGGCCTTGTCAGACATCATTTTTACGACAAATGTGGTGCCCAACATGTTGGCTATCATTGTACATGGAAAGCAAGCGATTTCCTTAATTTCATGCATTGCCCAGTTCTACTTCTATGGAGCACTTGGCAGCATGGAATGTTTCCTCCTGACGGTGATGTCCTATGATCGTTATCTGGCTGTCTGTAAACCATTGCATTACTCCCAAATTATAGACATTAAGCTCCAAAAATGGCTCATTACAGCTTCATGGCTTACAAGTTTAATTGTGGCAGCTTTACCTGCAATTCTCATGCATCAACTGAATTTCTGTGGGCCAAATATCATAGACCAGTTCTTCTGTGATCTTGCTCCATTATTAGAACTCTCCTGCTCAGACACATCTATCGTGAAGACAGAAGCGCTCATAGCCTCACTCCATGTAGTTCTTCTCCCATTCCTGTTCATCATATCTTCTTATATCCGTATTCTTATTACCATCCTTCAAATCCCTTCAGCTCAAGGCCGGCAGAAGACCTTCTCTACCTGCAGTGCCCACCTACTTGTGGTGTGCACTTACTTCCTGACCATAATCACGATATACAGCGATCCCTCACAAACCTACTCCTCAAATGTTAACAAAGTCCGCTCAGTTCTGTACATAGTCTTGACACCATTGTTAAATCCTTTGATATATGCCCTAAAGAACCAGGAAATCAAAGATACATTAAAGAAAAAGCTGTTTAAAGCATTACATATTTAATGTTCTTTTATTTATTTTAGATGGCCAGAATATAGGTCATATTAAAGACGTGGTGGTGTGGGCACTGTACAGTGCTAAGCTAAATTTAACAGATAACATCCATATCCTATTCCCTCTAATGAGATAGTACCACCATCCCTACTACTTAGACAAGGGCATATTAACAATTCTTATCAGGGCCTTGAAGGTACAGAAATATGAATCTCATAAAAGCTTCATCCCACCTTGAACTCCACAGTCCAGGGGAGGATGGAGATATTGTACTTTGTCTAAAGTGATATTAAGGTTTTAGAGACTGGCGGTATTCCCTTTACTTGCAGGGCGGCACAGTGGCTAAATGGTTAGCACTTTCATCTGGAAGTACTAGGGTCGTTGGTTCAAATCCCAACCATGGCACCACCAGTCTGAAGTTTGCATGTTTCCCCTGTGCCTGCGTGGGTTTCCTCTGGGTACTCTGGTTTCCTTCCACACTCCAAAGACATGCTGGTAGGTTAATTGGATCCTGTCCAAATTGTCCCTAGTATGTGTATGTATGAATGTGAATTAGGGACCTTAGATTGTACACCCCTTGAGGGTCCGGGACTGATGTGAATGTACAATATATATGTAAAGCGCTGCGTAAATTGACAGCACTATATAAGTAGCTATAGTAAATAAATACTTGGAGGCCATCTCACTATTGGTGAGCCACCACAGAGGCACTTTACAGACTCAAGGTGGGGCATCTAACTAATACAATTTGAATACAACAAGAGATTAAACAGGGATGAAGGTGGGATGTTTGATGTAAGATTATTGGTATTGTCAAGGATGGGTAACTGGCCACTAGCTGGTCATCTGGGCTTGGCATCTGTGGAGTAAGACAAATGTAGCTTTTAATATTGAGGTGGCTGTTTATATACCTACACTATATTGATGCTCTTCAAAAGAAAACCATAGAGTTGCTGTATATCTAATAAAGAATTACACATTATGTGCATTTTTGAAATGTTATCAATACACTGAAAATTAAATGTTTGATAACGTGTATATACTGTAGGCCATCCTCTGTGATGGATATTACCAACCTTACAATGTATCAGTGTTTTTATGGATACTATTTTAGTCAATGTGAACAATAAATCATTGATTATGAAATTCCTGTTTCGTGTGGAATTTTCCTGCATATACATAAAACCACAAAAAAT